GAAACAGACCAGTCCATTAGTGGGCAGAGAATAATGACTCATGAAGCAACAAGCAGAGGAAGGAATCACTATACAGGCGTCTATGCCAGGCAGTGCTACCAAAAGAACTCATCTCAAGTTTTATTTTGCTTTTATAATGTGCTACCGTTAAAGAATCTTGCACAATCACATAATATATGTAAGGTTACAGTTGTTCCATCTGAGGAATGCTTTGAATATTCATCATAACTACCAGAAGAAAGATACTTGGAGACCAAAAAGATGAAAAAGCAGTGGGCTACAGTGGATGGTAGTCTATAACTAGGTTCAGTGTTTAGTTAGAATCCTGTCTGACAACTTAAAAAGCTCTTCAGTTTCCTTGATTAATAATTATTAGGTCAAATTATTTCTAGAGCAAACCACAGTCATATTCTCAAATCATTCGGGCCTTTCTGCAACTTCTCACTGACAATTTTTTGAGTGCTTTTGAAGCCTTCTCCAGCTTTCTCCAGAAGCTTTGCAGTAACTGTTGACAACCCTAGACAAAAACTGTCTTTCAAGGGCAGACGTCAAGGTTGGCAAAAGGAAGAGAAAGCTCTAGAAATGATGGACCTTACTATAAGGTTTCCACTATGAGCTCCTCACAATTGTAACCCTAAACAACTGAAGGAGGAAAGAGATATCCCTTCCATGTACTAGGACTGTAAGATACACCCAGATATTAATTAAAGCTGATTCAGTCTACAGAGGTTGTTATCTTCAGCAATTGGAATGTAATGAAGAATTGACTGACAAGAAATATCTAGAGACCTTCAGATAAATCACTGGATCAGGTTGTAATGTTATTTTACTATCCCGCTTGAAAGTCAATATGTAATACAGCCAATATATGAAGGCCATGATATACGCTGCACAGTCAGTACTAAGGGTCACTTTTACTTGCTGCACCAGATACTGAAAAGAAATTCCACTTTTTGAAGACTGCCCCTGAAAAGCAGCTAAAAGAATCCTTCAGTTTCCTAACAAAAAATGGACAACCAAGCCGACCCAATAAGGTGGCTTTGCTACTCCTTTTTTTTCCTGAACAATTCCTAAAGCCTATCAAAGAGAGGCCTGTCACATGGCTCTGCCAGCTGCCCAGTAAGCAGGAGCTAAACAGGGATGTCAGGAAAAAGAAGAGGTGAGACGAGGCCTACACCTAAAGACTGGATCAAGGAGTGACACAGAGCAGGATGTCACCATGTTGAGAGCAGTGTGACCCAGACTGCCTTGCTGTCTTTCCAGTGACCTATAAACACACTGAACAGCAAAGACAATACAGCAGAATGCCAGGAGCAAGAACCTTGCAGAAAAGATGATCACAGGACAAACAAAAGCTCTGCATAGAGGGAAAAATTTCCAGCTTTACCTGCTAGCCCTGCCTGAGGCTGAAGCTGAGGCAAAGCCTTCACAGTACAAAGCAACAGAAGTAGCTTCTGAACCTATGAGCTATGTCAATTATCAAGACATTAAACCTGCTTCTCTATCATTACAAATCCAAAGCAAGTCTGAAATGAGGCAACATCAAGTTCAAACACTACCTACAGACAGGTTGGCTGCTAACTACTCTTGTTCAATGCAACAAGAATAAAACTACGAAAAAGGAAAACTTTACAGAATGAATATAAATCTGTTTTAAGTCAAAACTAGCAATGGCCAATGCCTTAGGTCCGCAGCTCCAAAGGATGACTGTTAGTCATAAGTCACGTAACAAAATCCGTGTGAATAAACAGACTAAATTTTCATATTATCTCTTCAAAATCCTACCAAAAGACTCACAACTTGTCATTTCTACATCTCAGCTGTGGAAAAAAAAACAAGTATGTGCATACTTGGATGCTTCAAAAATATGCATCTAATCACCCAGGCCGTGTCAGTTTACACATATCAAAATCTGGCTTATACAATTATATTCTTATATTATAAACTTGCAATGTTTGCATTAACACTTATGTTAGCTGTTGTTGTTCCCGCTGAGAAAGGGTGAATTGCAATGCTGATAAGAAATGAAAGCAGATGCAGTCAAGTTATTAACCCAATTCAAGCTAAACCAACCAAAGAAAAGATCTAAAAAGAGTTGAGCATACACCTAAGGAGAAAGCCAGGTAGCAGCCAGCTTGGTTAGAGATTTTGGAATGGATTTACAGGAGTTCATTTTGAAGACTGGTACACTGGGAAAAAAATAAACTTGAAACTTTGAAGAAGACAGGTAACGCATCCTTGAAAATGTCTGTGTTTGGAGCAATGCAGAAAAAATGCCTAACCAGGGTGCTGCCATTCAACACTTCCATTGTTAAGTCTTCCTTGATAGGTACTGAGAGAAAGTAATGGAGACAAACACTACAGAGAGGTCTAAATATTAGCAACACAA